CCCCAGCCAGCATGCTGGCTGGGGAATTCTGGGAATTGAAGTCCACAGAACTTCAACTGCTCCATCTACCTAGCCTGCCTTCAACTGCTCCATCTACCTAGCCTGCCTTCCAGCATTCTTCAGATAAATAGGAGGAAGTTCTTCCAATCCCTTTGGAAGATAGGTGGTCCACCATAAATACATCGTTCATGGCAGCTATTTTTAAGTGTACTTGAGATCGTTCTGTGCTTTTAAGGCTCAATTCTTGCTTTTTCCCCGTCAGGTGGAGGTTGGCAGCGATGAGGAACGCAAACTCAACCTGAGGTAGGCATCAGCTATTTCACCCCTCGCTGCAGAATTTGTCGCTTACCTGGCGCCCTTCAGGAACGGGGAGAGTGTAGCTTCCAGTTCCCACCTGCACGGGTTGGCTAGTTATGGCCATTTCTTCCGTGTAAGCCTTGGGGATGCTGGAGGTGCTGCTTCAAACACAGCCATGAGATTCTCAAATAACTGTGTTAGCTCACTTTTAGACGTGCAAGAGCACACCTGGGTGCTGGATTAACATTACCCACACGCTCAGATTCTGTGCTAAAGCCGCACACACAGAGCGTCTGTGGACTTTCTAAATGGGAATCTGCTTGTGGGAAATTCCATTGAAGAGAATTGCATTTCAGTGGCAATCAAGTTCCTTTTTTATTTTCCTGGGTTTTGGAGGTACAGTTTGAACTCTGTTGGCTATTTTGTGCTGATTTTATGACTTGGGTTTGCCTGTGACGGCTATTCTATCCTGTGTGTAATTGCAGTGGTTTTATTCATTCTTTAAAAACTACCCCAACGTATAACTGAGTGACAGTATAAAAGGGGTTAGGATAAATTCCCAGGGAAGGAAAACGAGTGAATTCAGGGTTTTGGCCTTCGTCACAACCAGGCTCTTCCAATGCAATGGATCAAGTGCCTCTTGGCTTAACTACAACCTCCTGGATGGGCTGCACCCTCTGTGGGGCACCAACGTTGCCCCCGTGCAGGGGCTCTTACCCGCTGACAGCCCTTCGAAGATGAGCTGACCAAACCAAGGCATCTTTGCTGGCGGGGAGGGGTAGAACAGCAGATTGGCACTGGCTGCCAACGGGGGCTGCCATCTAGATGGCATCTGTGCTTCCACAGAGTCTGTGGAAGCCCCTGGTCTCTCTTGGTTGCTTGCAAACCTTCAGTCCCATCAACCGCTCGGTGACCGGAGCGGCGGTGCCCTTCCTGGTGATGAAGCTGCTTACGCCTGCCGGTGCTGCTGTCCCAAAGGCAGACTGTTGTGTTGTCTGTCACGCCTTGGCCGTTGGGGGCAGTCTCATTCCACATCTGCAAGCTGGGTCTGGATTTCGCGTGAGACGGTTTGTCCGGCTTTCCTGCAGGGAGCAGAGTGACCTGCCGTGGAAGAACTGGGCATCTTCTAACAAACAGTCCCAGCAGGAGGGCCTTGTGCGACCAAACAGCCCACTTTGCAGGTGCAATCTTGGCCAAAGGAAATCTCCCTCCCGGGAAATGAAACGTCGGGATAATCCGCCCGTTGTCAATAAGTGTCAGTTATCTAGTCCCATAAGGATGATGCTTCCTTGAGGGAGTACCCTAAACAGAGAGTAAAACAAGATTAAAACAACATCCAAAGACTGCCATCAGAAGCAGAAAGCTGAACCACTAATCAAACAATGGGCTATCCAGAAAAGGCTGTGCTGGGGTTCCTGCGACCCCAGTTGCCTGGCCCAAGCTTTGTTGCTGTCTTGCCCCCGGAGCATGACTCATTTCCTCCCCTGTTTTGGTTCCCTGGTTTCTGAGGGTTCCCCCACGCAGGCAGCCTGCCCACCTCCTCCCTGCATTGCCAGTTGGCTCCCCGGCCGCCGGCTCACGGGCCCACCGAGGTGCCTCCTTGTTGCTTAGAGAGTGCTGAAGCCACAATACTGCAACCTGGCCAGGATATGAGTCAGCATCCTGTTTTTGAACATCTGGTACAGTCAGCAGCCTCCACCTTCACCAGGGTCCCTTGCTGACTTCACTGACTGGTTGGAGCCATGTAGGACCCCCGCCCCCGGTCTCCAGGTGCCCTCATTGAGGGATCTCCAGCAGCCCCCAGCGGCAGGCTCTCCTTCGCCACCAAGCCATTGGGGAGCCTAGCCTGCCCTTGCCTTCCACATAGCAAATGCTGTGCCATGTGACCGTTGAGTCCAGTTTTAAAAAGGATGGCCACCGCTTCTTGCTCTGGTAGATCTTCTTCTGTCTCTGTACCATTGTGTGAATTCTCCAGCCGGCACCCTGTTTTCAGCAGTCGTTTTGTCTGGATCTTAGCGCCTGTTGGAGTGGTGGGTGAGCTGTGCGTGGCCCAGGCTGAGAGATGGAGGGTGGGTGAGCTGCTCCCCGAGGACCTCCTTGTCTAGTATGGGGAAGCGAGAAGCTGTCCTTGTATGCTGGACCACCCGAGCCAGAGCAGTAAGGTGCAGAAACACCTGTTCTCAAGGTTGCCAAACGGTAATGTCGGTGCTTAGGACAGGAGTTTTACGGTCTACTGCTGAAATGGGCTGAAAAGGCGCTATGGTAGCACCAGGGAAAACTTTGCTAACTGCCCCATTTGTGGGGGAGAGGCAGTTCCTTAGGGTCCCAATTCCAGACCGCCTGGAGCTTTAGCGATCAAGACTGACGCTTGGAATTATGCATGGATGCCTGCAGGACACTCAACATGTTCAGAAGCATAAAGCGTAAATGCTGAGGTCAGCTCTCCAACGTTCATGTTTCATGGCACGTCTGCTTGGAGGGCCAGCTGTCCCCTGCTGCTGGCATTGGCTATCGGGAGTGCTTTTATCCCGAAAGGCGCTAGTGCTGAGGGTGCCCGCCTTCACTTAAATCGGGGTCCTTGCTTGCATTCCAATGACCATCCTTGAAAATAACTCCTTTGTGTTTCTTCCAAGCCTGCTGCATGATGGGAAATAGGAGATTAAGCCCACCTTCCTCCCTCCCCCCAGACTGGTCTTAACCCAGCAGAATCGCTCTGCCCGGTCCTCTCTCGCAGGGCCTCAGACGGTCTGACCCCAACCTGCAGATTGTAGCTGTGATGAAGCGGGTGCCAAGAGAACCAGGCCCACATCACTTGCCATTTGCTTCTGCTGAGAAATCTGTGGGTTCCCTGATAGATTTCCTCTCTCTTCTCTCTCCCCCCCACCTTATCCTGAAAGAGCTTTTGCATCAGCACTGTGAATGACCTGTGGTCTCTGGAAACGCGGCTTGGAATTTCTGGCAGCGACCGCGGCCTACGCCTTTTCAGCCAAACAATGCCCCCTCACAGAGAGCTTTTGTTGGTGGAGCTCTGCGGACGTTTGGAGCAGAGCTTAGCAGCCTCGCTCGTTCTTCAGCCCTTTTGCCCGTTCGGCCGAGATGTGGGGTGGGGGTTGGGTTTTCTCTGGGTCCAACAGGGTGATGCCTCCGGAGCAGACACTGTCAGCCTGGATCAGAAGAGCCACCCGCTCTGTTCCTTAACTCTCCTCCCTGGTTGCTTGAAGCCTCCTTGGATGGATAGCCAAAGGGTTGGACCTTCCCATAGCAAGGAATGGTTCCTGAACCAGTCCAGGTGTATTGCTTTTGGAAAAGCCAGCCAGATTCCTCCTAGAGGTGACCCTTGCAGAACCCTTTCTTTTCTAAAGCTGTATCCTCTCTGAACATGGAGGTTTTCTTTACTTCACACAACTAATGGCCATCGATCGACGTCTTCCTTATGGATTGATTTATTTCTGACAGCCCTTGTGCCAGACCCTTTGCAGTATGAGTCCCAGAAGGGAAATGTCCAAGAGAAGGTGCTTCCTGGCCTTTGGGCTAAGATCGAACATGGTGTTGTAGCTGGAGTAGAAATGTGTATTCTTTGAAGATAGGCATCTTGGTCAGCCTGAGTCTTGCAAATGCCAAGGTCAAAACTGTTTTTTCTTTTGGAACAATGTGGGGATATAGGCCTCAGGGCTGGCAAGAGTCTTGGCACTGATGGTCTGTCTCAGAACGTTGGTAATTGCGCCTGTCTGAGAGCCCCAGCAGACACATGCCTAACAAGAGCAGAGTTTGGAAACCTGGGGGAGGGATGCGCAGATCATGACCTCCCCATCTCGTGTTAGAACCCCCAGCTTTCTCTAAAAGAAACAGGCACTCAGCAACAAGCCTCCCATAAGCCTTTGAGATCTCACAGCAGGGTCTTGGCTGGCCCCAAGGGGTTGTGAGCCAGATCTGCAATTCCATTCCGATGTCTTAATTTCCTCCTGCAGTTCCAGTTAGATACGGCTTTCCCTGCTTCCTGCCTTCCTCAGCTGGAAAGGAGCTCCTGCAATCTCTCCAGGGCTGGAAGCTTCTCTCCAAACAGCTGAGAGATGGGAGTGCGCTTGGCACATCTTCATATTAGCCTGAAATGGGTTGAGGGTAAGAAATAGAACTAGTACGTGTGAGTATTTTGGGTGGTACTGAAGCACTTTAGATGGCCTGTTCTCCACACTCTTTCCTCCCTGTTGGAAGTTTTCATAGGTATCAATCTATGCATGGCCTTAGTATCGGCTGCGTGCAAATCCACCATCGCACTCAGGGCTCCATCTCAAGTAGCATTGGTGCAAACCCATTGGCTGTTCCTTAGATATCTCTCTAGAATTTGAAGCAGGACTACCCAAACAGCCTTCTTCAATGGAAGGAGAACAGCAGAAGCTGAGAACCTTCCGCAAGACTTCTAGCAAAGGAGGTCAATTCAGGTGGGCTTTGTCTTCCACAAAAGTCGTCTTCTAGAGATCATTTTGGAGTCCAGAGAGGGTCCTTTGTCCTATTGCCACTCCTCGTGGTAGCAGATTTCACTGGTTGGCCCATTATTCTGGTATCACCATAGAAAGGGAGAAATCATCTCCATCCATTTTCTAGGCTTCATTTTGTAAAAGTTCCCCCACATTTTCCCTCTTAATTCCCTTCCCGCATTACTTTAGCTCAGCATTTGCCATCTTAGTGCCCTTGGGATGTACTAGGACTCCAGTTCCTAGAACCCCCAGCCAGGCTGTTGGGGAGTTCCAGTTGCAGCACATCTGGAGGGCACCTGGCTGGGAACCTGTTTTAACTTTTCTGTTTAGGAAGGGGCTCAGATGATCTGTTTTGCATGTCCCCTCGTTTTCCTGGTTGCCAGCGCTGACCATCAGGCTGTCAGGATGGAAGTGCCCAGACCCCTGTATGCCCATCAGCATTCTTTGGAGGGAGAGGTTCAGGGAGAAGGAGGGTTGGAAGGCGCAAACACTGCTTTGGGGTCCCAATTTCTCCTTCCGCGCCAGCACTTAAAATGAAGAAGGCCCACCGCTAAGCTTTCAGTTGGACAGTGGTGAGTTATAATGTGCAACCTGGACTTCAGCCCCATGCCCTTTTGATGTACTGGGATAACAACTCCCATCATCCCTGCCAGCATGCTGAGCTGAGGAGAAATAGCAAGGTTTGCATTTTCCATGGAAAAGCCTTGCTCTTGGTTTTGCCAACCCATCTCGTTTCCATCTGTTTGCTTCTAAGCTGATGCCCAGTGAAATTGGACCCCAATCAGATTCCCTAGAGAGGGTCCCATTCTCCCAGGGCCCAGTGCGGGCGGCGAGGAATGCCAGTCCTTCATCCATCAGGGCGACCTCTTTTACTCTAGCAAGGAGAGCCAAGTGCATTAGAAGGCCATCATTCCTCTTCACGAAGCAAGGGACTTCAGCTGCTTCACAGAGCTGGCAAAAAAGCAAAGCCTGTGGGAGGGGAAGTATCTAATGAGCATCAGTCGGTCCCCCCTTCCTTCTGAAAGGCCCTCTTTCATCGAGATGTATGATGGCAAGTCCTTTCTCTTTTCCTGAGCCAAGATGTCGTGGGGGTAGGGTGCAGAGTTCCACAAAAGTCATCAGTTCCTGGGTAGAAGCAACAGACGTGGAGAGCGCTCCCTCCTTCGCCCAGAAGAACCGGCTGGACTTTTTGGTTCCTGCGAAGAGATGTCGAAAAGCAAAGCAGGATGACTTGAAGAGCTGGCTATGAACCTTTCTGACTTTGCTACCTTCTGCCTGTCCTTTGGGGCTGCACGATGTTTCTGCTGCTTAAAGGAACCCCATCCCAAGCCGTACGTATGCCACGGCCTTCCTGCTCTAAAAGCTTGGCCAGCTGAGACCTTTCAGAAGGAGTTTAGGCTCCGTGCTTGGTGGGGAGCCGTTTCCTTCAATGAAAGCTGCCCTCTGCCTGTGTTTGCTCGACGCTTCACCCGAGCTGATGGGAATTCAGCGGCAAAGATGGTTGGGCCAGGCTGCTGATTACAGACCGACTGAGATGTAGAAACGTTTGGCTTTCAGGAGAGCGATACTGGAGCAAAACGGAATTTAATGGTTTGGTTTTCTCTCTATCGGGGCTTGGGGGCCATAGCCAAGGCCAAAGGTGTGGCTGGACTGTGGGGGTGTGAGTGTGTGTTTGGGATAGACACCCAGCCAGGCGTCCGTGAGATGTGCAGCTCATCCAGAAAGCCAGAGGCTGATGGGCATGGCCGTGTCATGGAGACAATCCTGTGGCTGATTTCTGAGATCACCGCTGAAGGACGGGGAGTCTATGTCCTTTTTTTCTTTAACATTTCTTGTTACCAACAGATTTTTTGAAAATCCTTTGTCCTATCTGTTGAATACGTGGCTGCAGAATGAAGCTGTCATGGCAGACTTCTCTTTGGGTGAATTGTTGGCTGTGGGATGATCTCACTTTAGCCTGAGTATGATGGGTTCAAGATCATGGGCAGTTGGTAATTTCTCCCCCTTTGATCATACACAGGAATTGTGTATAGCCGTTCTTCGAATGGCAGGAAATGTTGGGAAAGGTGGCCTGTCAGACTCTGCAATCCCTCTGCTTGTTTTCTGTGATTTCCCATCAATGTATTTCATTGTGTGTTGACCCCGATGTCCATTCTGACTTTTTTCAGCCTGGGGCAGTGAATAAAGTCATACTTGACATTTAATGTTTAGGACGGTTAATCAGATAAAAGGCTTGGCCAACTAGCAGCTGGCCTTTGCCTTGACTTTATTATCCAGTGAAATGTAGACTTGAGGTGATGTTGCACAGAGTCAATGGGACACGTTATCAGGCGGGAGTAGCAGCTTCTCCGAGGGGTGTGAGTGGGACCCTTTCTTCAGCCCACACTGTGCGTGTTCAGTCGGGTGAGTGTGGATCCCCTCCTTGGCTGATACCTTTGGATTTAGAAGGTCTCATATGCAAATCGGGTCTTTTGCCTCAGTTCTTTCTCTGTAAAATAGGTTATTGCTAGATTGGGCTCGGAGGATGGCAATGAGGGTGAAAATCCAGACATGCTTTCACAAATTCTGAAGGAATGAGACAAATTCACTCACAGCTGTTTTGAGCGCCACATGTTGAATCTGCTGAGAGTTTTGCCACATAAGGTCCATTGGTGTGGATGGAGTATTTAAGCCACTGTTTCTCAACTTGGCTGCTCCAAGATGTGTGGACTTCAACTCCCAGAATTCCCCAGCCAGCATGTTGAAGTCCACACATCTCGGAGCGGCCGAGGTTGAGAAACACTGGTTTAGGCTGCTGTGCTGCAAGGTCCCTGTTGTTTTGAATGCAGATTTCAGAGAAAAAAAATCCCGCTCAGTTCAGACTGTGGCTTTTAAACAGTGAAGTTTTGAATGCCAAAGGTCCCAGTTTCGTTCCTGGCATCTCCAGTTTAAAGGATTGGGGGACTGGATACATATCCTCCAAATCATAATTTGACTGCTGCTACCCGTCCGATCAGGCTGTTCTGGCTTAGGTGGACCCGTTTCCTGTCCCACGCTAAAACTGTTTGTATAACCTTTAAAAGGCAGAATTGCTCACTTGCGTGCAGTTTCTCTGGGTACAGCCTTAGAAAACACATGGAACAGGCGTATTCTTATCAAGGTCCAAAATGTGTCTGCAGGGTTGGTTTGGGAGATGTTTCTACTGAATTGTCCACATTTGATGCATCTTCTCCTTCCCCACCTACCGTACAGCCCCAGTCCAGAATGTTCTTTATGAATCCCAACATGTAAACTAAGCTGAACGTGCTAAGAAGGATAGACATTTTTTTAATCGCGCCAACAAGCGATCTCACTTGGTGGAGTCTGATAGCCCAGAGTTGTCACATTTGAAGGTTGTTATCTTTTTCCTACAAAAACCTTGTAAGCCCACCTCCTGAAGCGGCCCAACGTGTAACCCCAATGGAAAATTACATAGTGCGCTTCTGACGGGAACCCAGATGCCTTTCTAAAATCATTTGCTAGTAGTGAAGCCTCCTCATCCCCTTCTGACAAGCACTTAGTCATTTATTTAAAGCTTGGCTTTGTGCCACTGGATTTTGGCTGTGGAACAAGGGCTCCAGTGTGTGGAAGAAATCAGGCACAACCCTTTGGTCACAGTAATTGTGTCCTAACATTACCAGAAATGCTGAAAGTATGATCCACCCGCTCTTCCACGAAGGGAGGGGGCGGCAAGAATCCATCTTCTTTACGATGAGGGATAAGGAGAAGTATTTTGCAATGCTTCTTTGGCTGTCAAATTCTGATTTTATTTGTTTTGTAGCCTTTAGACGGAAAAAATGATGTGTAAAATAAATCTGTCCTTGGTTTATGGCGCATATGACAGGAACAAGCTGGAATAATGATGACATCTTGTTATATCTGGGAAACAGGCTGGTCTCTTCCCACCTGGATCCACCACTAGCCACGTGTCCCCAAATTGGTGGGCGGAATTACCTGTTTCCACTTGGCCACAGTAGATGGTAGCTAATGGTAGAAAAAGCTAAGCAGGAACATGTCTGGTTAGTACTTGGATGGGAGACGATCAGGAAATACAGGGCTGTAGGCTAGACTGGGAATCCAAAAAAAGTCAGAGAAAAGCAACAGCACATCATGTCCAAGAAAATGACCTGCTCTTGTCCATGGAGCTCAACTCAGAGGTGACTTTTCTTTCCCTGGATGCTGGAAATCGCTCCACAGGAGTCAGTCTACCCACACTGTTGGCATGCGTCTCCCTGCCTGACTTGCTGCTGTGCCTGTTTGTGTTGCAGTTTAAGCGAGAGCTTTTTTATGGTGAAAGGAGCTGCGTTATTCCTGCAGCAAGGGAACAGCCCACAGGGTCCTCCTCGGAGTGTCCCGCACCCTCACAAACATGCAGGTAAGGCCGTCTCGGTTGGCTAAGGTAACTTGAGTAGAATAAGTTAGGAAATACCAGTGTGGAGGAGAAAAACCATAAGGTGGTGAGCGTGTGTGGGCATCGTGGAAATCAAATGCCACTGATTTGGGTTCGGCCAAGAGCAAGGAGGAGACTGTAGGATGGGGCTCTCTATCACAGTTAGCAAAGCTTCCACGTTCAGCTTCGCCGTTCTTACAGGAAGAGCCCTGTCTTGTTCAGTGGCTACAGAGGGTCAGTCCTCTGCCCTCTTTTTGTGAACAGATAAGGTCTCTCAGAACGCAACAAGATTGACCATTGTGATGCAGTCATTAACCCTGAAGGGCGAGACGCAAGTGTGACAACTTGGGATTTGCTACAGTTCCAGAGACGTCTTGGGGATAAGGGTGACAGATCATTCCCAAAAAACTCTTGGATTTTGATGTGGAGCCAAGCAAGCTAGCTGGGGCCAAAACTAGTCCTCATTAAACTAGTGCCCTCTGGAGGACACCATGTTGAGAAGATGAGCTGGTGGAATGCATATTTTTTATTTGCAGTTCAGTCCCTCCCTGTCCCCACCCAGGACATTTTAAAGAAGTGTTTGGAAGCATTCCTGCCCGGATACCAAGGAGCTCCGCTGTTGTCCTAAATCTGTGGTTGGCTAGGCCTGCCAAATGTGGTTGACCATCAGGAAGTTCTTTTGAAGCATAATGATGGCTTATTAAGGAGGCTTAATGGGGATCCAAAACAATGGGCAGCAAAAGCAACACAGTTTTATGACTCTTAACCTTTTCCTGAGCGTCATGGTAGACCGTAGAGGATCGGGCCGTAGCAATGGCGAGGGGTGGAAGGGGGAGGAGAGCACTGTGTTAGTTGATGCAGCAAAGCAGTGTCATGGTGATGCATCTGATGATTTGCTGCTTGTGTATCCACAGGTGATTTGCCACAGCACCTTCAGGTGATGATCAACCTCCTTCGCTGTGAGGACAGAATCAAGCTGGTAAGAGGACTTGCCGAGTCCCCCGCTGTGGTGCAATCCCTTGCCGCAGTCCCCATACAGCGGTGGTCTTGTCCCAGTAAATCAATCGTTTGCAAAAGGAGTTGCTTGGGAGCACATGGTAGACCTATGAAGAGAAAGCCAGTCTTTGTCAAGCAGAGCCACATCGGAAGCAGGCCGTCCCCAACCATAGTTTGACTCCTAGCTTTAGCCATAGTCCAATGCTTAGTTGAGTGCACTTACCTCCTGAAGTCAGAGTACTGACTCTCTGAAATTGCTGCTTGGAGATCTCATGGACATCACTTGGATAGCGGGATCTGACCTTCATATACCTTTACTGAGACCTTCTCTCTAAATGTGAAGAACACAGCCTGGTGCCCTCCAGAGGCATTGGATTAGCTCCCCCATCATTCCCAGCTACCCTTCCCAGCATAGTGCTGCCTGGAAGACTGTGTGAGATGCGGCCCAACATGTTTAGAGGGCACCAGGTTGGTTGGGGAAAGTTGACTTAAACCCTCTTCTTTTTGTCTCGCCAGAAACATACCTGGCTAAACTAATGCATAGCTAAAGAGAGGTATGGACTTGTGGCCAAGGGGATGAGTGCTGAGAACTGCCTTGCTGATTTTTAGGCCGTGCGCTTAGAAAGCGCGTGGAGCGATCGCGTGAGGTACATGGTGGTTGTCTACAGCAGTGGGCGCCAAGACACCGAGGAGAACATTCTCCTGGGCGTGGACTTTTCCAGCAAGGAGAGGTAAGGGCTGGGTGCCTTGCGATGCTTGGCGAGCAGGGGTTGCTCCCCCACCATTCTGCCCAGCCAGCAGCCCCGGGCCTTCTCTTCTCTCTTCTCTCTTCTCTCCCTTGGCAGCCAGAGTTGTACCATAGGGATGGTGCTACGCCTGTGGAGCGATACGAAGATCCACCTGGATGGTGACGGGTGAGGAACGTGAGGTTTCGGATAGCTGGCGGAGGAAAGCAGAGCTCGTGGCAGTGAGACTGTTGCGAACAGCTCCTTTGAGCGGGGAGCAGGGGTTGGCGCCTGGTGCAGAGGACTGGGCGAGCTCCCCCTCAGCCCACCCCTCGAAATCTCATGTGATTCCATCGTTCTGGTACTGAGAACTCCCTCGCGTGGCCCGATATGATTTCAGACCTTCTTAAATGCTGAGTTTGAAAAGATGTGGATGGGATGGCATTTCTGGAGCCCTGCTCCTGCTCCTGCTCTGGGGTACCTGTACCTGCTAAGGTTAGGGTGCAGATTTTTTGTGTCTGCCCAGATCCTTCAGTTGGTGGTTCGATATAGTAGCGTGAGCTCTTTTGAAGGGGCCGCTGAACAGGCCCTCTCTGTGTTTAAGCATGAACAGCAGCAGCCCCGCTGGCGTGTGCTGCAGCAATTCTTCTGTCTGTCTCTGATAGTGGATTTAGCGTCAGCACTGCGGGGAAGATGCATATCTTCAAGCCTGTCTCGGTGCAAGCCATGTGGTGAGTGACTTCCTTTCTTTCTCTCCTCCTCATTCCCTCCCAAATGCTGAAGCAGCTTTTCATCTGCTGTCGTAGTGACCCAACTGGCCAGCAATTCTCCATTCCCCACAAGGCTGGACCACCGTGGTCATTGGAGAGGAAATGTTGAGATGGCTGTTGGGCTCCTGGCAATACATTGTTTATATTGCTTGCCTGAGAACTGCCCTCGGCTCTTTAGGTGACGCGTCCGAGGAACAGCACCTGACTGAGATAAATGACGGTGCTTCCCTCGTGGTCCAGGGAGCTGCCAGGCTGGGGTGTCTCAGGTTCTTAAGGGCTGGCTGGGAAGTTGGATTTTTGTCTTGAGGGAAGGTCTCTGTGTTCTAGCTGAATCCTGAACTCTAAGCCAGAGACAGTCCAGGAGCTGATTTAGAAACCCAGTGAAGAAATGGGAGTGAACCGGGATGTCTCCCCACTCCCATGATTTGGGGCTCCTGCCCTGTGCAGTCCTGCCTACCACCGTTTCTGAATATGGTGCAGAAGCTCTGGAAGGATGGAACTGAAATCTCCCTGCAAACCTCATCCGTGTTTTCTGCTACTGGATAGCTCCTCCGGTGTCCTTGGGGGAATATCGAAGCTGCTGGTCAGGTCCCAACTCAGGTCCCAGCTATTTACAAAGAGAGGGGCATCTGTAAAGACTGTGTTCCCCCGCCACGCTGCGTTATAATTTGCTTCCCTGGGGTTGGCTAAGCAGGTTGCTGAGTTCACTGTCTATTAAGCCAGACACAACTTCCATCAGTGGTTATTGGGGCATCTTTCACTCTTCCTATTAAGAGCTTCAGGAGGAAATGATCCACCAACTCTTAGGGAGGGCTGTTGCTCTGTGGGTTTTTCTTCCAGGGGGGTAAAGGCCTTGTCCCTTGACCTGCCCCCTTTCCCAGCATCAGCAGCTCTTCCCAGCTTGCAGTGAGCCAGAGGGGTTGGGCTGCCTATGAAGGCACCATCCTCCTTGTGCCTGCTTGGCCAGCCCGCTACCCATCCCTGCTCCGGGGTCCTGGGTGCTGGGGCTGAAGCCTTCCCTCTTGGGGTCTCCCCACTTGCAGGTCTGCCTTGCAGGTCCTCCACAAGGCTTGCGAGATGGCTCGGAGGCACAACTACTTTCCAGGCGGGATGGCCCTCGTCTGGGCCACCTACTATGAGAGCTGCATCGCCTCCGAGCAGAGCTGCCTCAACGAGTGGAACGCCATGCAGGACCTGGAGTCCCCTCGCCCTGACTCGCCTGCATTATACATGGACAAGTGGGTTCCTCGTGTGATTGTTTTGCTGTGGCTTTCTGGGCAGGGAAGAGGGGTTGTCACCCCTGGAGTTTTAGAACAAATGTGTTCCTCCTTGCCTTGCCCCAAAGTGGGACGATGAGAAACAAAGCAAGGGCACCGTGTGGGATGTTGAAGAGTATCTATCTGGAGTTTCTCGGAGATGTTGGCTTTGTGGTCTGAGTAGAGCTTTCCTACAGCATCCTGAGCACCACCAACTTGTTTCTTTTTAAAACAAAGGCTGAGACGTTCAGGCAGACATGGACAACTTTCATGGGTTAGTTTTATGGGCCAGGACAAATCTGTAGTTGCAAGCCCCCTTCTCTAAGACCCATGCCCACAGTTTATTGGGACAGTAGGATATGTACGCAAGCGCACACATGCGTGCCAGAGGTTGCGCAGGGTTGGAGAGGAACAAGAGCTTGCACAGGGTTGGTCGTGAGTCTCCAACCAGCACTGCTCAGTACTGCAGGACTCCCCTACTTTGCCCATCGCTCACCTGTGGTTAAACAGCCGTTTGGGTGACATTACGTGGGATCCAACTGTTTCTGGACCAACCCTGATTGAGCTTCAGACTGCAAGAAGGTGACACAAGTGCTCACCATTTGTCCCAGCTTGCTCTTCTCTCGGGGAATTCTGTGAATTCTTTGTTGGAAGGTGGCAGCCCATTGCAGACAGGTAATCCTTCCTTCCTTCCTTCCTTCCTTCCTTCCTTCCTTCCTTCCTTCCTTCCTTCCTTCCTTCCTTCC